TGCCCATCGTTCTTTCTAATTTGTACATGAGCTTGAACACCCGCTTCTTCTTCTTCTCATATAGTGTGGACACGAGCTCATGTTGCAATTCGTGATTCTCGATCGTTTATTTTCATTAAAGCATATTATGTGCCGCTGTTATGGAAATTTAATGTAACTGAGTTATAAGTCTTTGTTTTTTTTATTTTGGTGACTGTCACATAATATTTCAATAAAAAAAAAAACATATCCTACATGTCTGCTCAATACGCGAAACACGAAAAGGCATCTTTTTTTTGTTGATATTTAGTAAATAAACCCGTCCCGGAAGCAGGTATGTCGGCTGATGATGTCTGCGGCCGAGAGACTGCCCAAAAAATAGATATTTGTCCGAGGAGCAAAGCTTCGAGGGCAAATGTGACACTCTTGTCGGAAACAGAATAATAGCATAGATATCAAATAGCGATTGTGAAATGTTTGTCTGGAAATTTTGTTATTCTTATGTCTGGAAGATTCGTATCTAGCCAATCAGCGTTCTTTTTAACTAAGGTGTCCCGCAAAGATAAGGAACAATTGTCTGTGATTTATTTAGCTTTCAGTCGAAGTAATCTTTCATATCAGTCGAGTCGAGGAGTTGTGACAGTTGTGAAACCTAGCGAGAATAGAAGAGGAGAAGAATAAAAATCTAGTGAAGACGAGACAGTGTGGGCTATCCTTACTAATTCCCCACAGCTGTGTTTATTTTACGGTTCACTGTCCAGAATTTAAAAGTGAGTCTTGTGTTTTTATCAGCCAGCGGCCTACACCTCCCCCGCCACCTAAATGACGAGAAAGAAAAATGATTTAATAACTCCGGCCAACCAACTTAAGAGTCAGTCAGTTAGTGAAGCAGTCAGTCAGCGAGTCAGTTAGCGAGTCAGTTAGTGAGTCAGTTAGTGAGTCAGTTAGTGAGTCATTGAGTACGGTTAGCTAGTTTATCAATAAGACAGTCAGTCAGTTGGTCGGACGTTTTACTCCTCATGAATACACATGAAAATGTACTTGAGAATGCATTTGTAATGGGTGGGGATGGAAGAGGATTTAGCTTACCTCCTCCAGTTCCAAAAGCACAATTCACAGGGATACCACCGTCAACTTGAATTTTGCTGTTCGGATTGCCATGTAATGATTTTGTAATGATGACGACACTTCCACCCGCACCACTCCCCCCGGGAGCTGATCTATGTGCCTTCACGTTGAGGCATTCCCCTGATTGTCCTGGAGGATTAGAAAACAGAAAACAGCGGGAACATTGGCGATACAATAGCACTTAGTTGGAAAATGATTAGGTTATTATAGAGTAATCAAAACAATGCATGTTCTGAGTTGGATTTCCTGTGATCAACAGTTATCTGGTAACTTATTACCTTTCGATTCAATTTTCCCCTCCAAGGTAATCTCCTCAAGAAGAAGATACACCAAGCCACCTCCATTTCCTCCCCTCCCCCCCAAGTTGGTATCATCTGTAAATGCTGAGCCACCTCCACCACCCCCTCCTCCACCGTAGCTTAGTCGTTTGGTGAAATCTATGTTGCCAAACTGCATTCCACCTAAATGAGATATGCAACAGTTTGTGAAGAGAAAAGACAGTTTTTCAAAACCAAATTTATCTAAATGAAAAGCTATGAATGATATTGACATTTCATGACGTAATAACGACTGTAACTGTTTCGTGATTGTTCATTTTTTCCAATCGCTTACTACACCAACTCGACTTGGCAATTAACTTCCATCGTAGACACGAATGCTGGGTAGTGTTTTCGGTATCGCAGCTGCGTTTGTTAGTCCGATCAGTACTTTGATGAGCTTCCTCATTCAAAATGGGAAACGTTGTTTCAACATTGATCTCAGTTTACTCACCTCCTCCTCCTCCCCCACCATAAGCAGGATGACACGACGAGTCACCTAAAATATAAAGACACAATAAATGCTAACTGACTCTTCATCCTCTTGCGAGTAGCTGTAACAAGCCAGGACGGGCAATGTAGACATACAAAACCAAGATGTCGGACCAACAAGATATATTTAATATAAGAAAACAGATGTCGTCAGCGGACCACGACGTCGTGACAGTGTCACGCAATATTGTTACAGTAGCAGGAGTGAAATGTTTCTTCATTTTTTAAACTATATTCTTATATAGTTGATTATTTCCTTATGATACCGTGGTTGGAAAAGAATCACCCTTGAAACAAATACGTTCGAGCAACACAGATAGCCAAAATCACTGGATTAATTTCTCCCAATTTGAAAAGAATCCTGCTCGATTTTTTCTGGCCTGGGAGTCATTAGCTTTCCCATCCATTGTTTACTTCATCGATGACTGACGTTGGTGTTCTTAAACATCAAGAGACAAGGCTAAATTGGTTCATATTTAATCTCTGATGAGCATAAAAAGGTCAATAACTTTTGTTATTCATCACCTCCTTCGCCCCCTCTATTTCCAGTCCCTGCTGTTCCGCTGCGAGCTGAAGCACAGTCCCCTTGAACAGGCTGACCCTGCTGACCTCCATTTCCACCATTCCCGGCTGTACAGGCTGCCACCCCTCCACCACCAGCGAACGCATTTATCTGCGAGGGAAAGGCGGAAGCTACATCTGGATTTATATCCCATATGACAAACATACAAAAAACGACAAAACAGAGTATTGACTTACAACAGTTGAAGCTGTTCCTCCTGTACCTCCCTTACCGCCACAACCAGTTCCGGCACCACCACCCCCACCACCAGAAAAATGTCCACCGCCTCCTCCTCCACCTGCGCCATCATCACTATTAACTGTTGAGTCACCTCCTCCCCCTCCAGAGTTGTATCCTCCAGGTCCACCCCGTGAGGCTAAATATGAGCAAATATCACAGTTATCATAATTATCATAAACGTTTTTCCAACCATTGATATTAAAAAATTTGTCATCGATAGTAAATGATGTGTATGGTAAGGAAAGTATAACACAACTAACCATCACCATCCCCTCCACCTCCCCCTCCAAGTCCATTTGTGTTTATGCCCCACAAAGTTCCACTAATATCTCCTCCTTTCCCATTGGTTCCCGTCTGAAGGTACAAGAAAGACTCGCCACCATACCCGCCCCCACCCCGTGAGTCACCGCCTTGCCCACCACGAAATCCTACGAAGGAAATTAAAACCAAGTCATTAATCTCAGAAATAACGTTTAATGATAACCTTTTCCTTTTCAGGAACTCTCAACTCTTGAAAATAAGCTCTAACTTAGTTAGCATTGCAACCCAAAATTAATTGCTAGTTTTTCTTGTTGGCCTGAACGAGAACAACCCTCATTCGCTGCCGGTGCCTCCAAGCTGCATTAAGGCTTGTTATGTTGAAATTGTGTTAAAACAATGTACGTTAAATTTGAAAAGTTTTATCGTTTCAAATTTTTTGTCGTGCAAGGAATCTTGGAGCGTAACATTAAAGTACAGTTCAACATTATGTGCGGTCTACCTAGACCAGTGGTTGATAACACTGAAGTTCCATCGATGCTGAACGTTTTTGCTCTCAGAGCCAGTATCCCTCCATGACCACTGTCTTGCATTCGACATGTCAGAACACACTTGTTCCAGAGGGTGACATTTTTGAACGTTGGAAATAATTGGGCGATGGTGTAACTGTCACTGGACTTAACAGGCTGAGTAAAGGCTTTGGTCAATGTGAGATCACAGCTTAAACAAATAACCATAATTATAAAAATAATGTTAATTTATATTACTTGAAAGTGCCCTATCAGGGGGATGAGGGGATACTTGAAAAAAGGAAAGAAGAAAAGAAAGAGAAGAAAAGGAAGAAAGAGGAGGAGGTGGAGGATGAAGAGTTGAAGGGGACTGAACGAAAGAGTGGATGGTGAGGGAGGAAAGGAGGAAGAAAATGAATAATAATGCGAAGAAAGGATAATGGAGAAGGGGAGAGGAAGGAGGAGAAGGAAGGAGGAGGAGGAAGGAGGAGGAGGAGAAAGGAGGAGGAGGAAGGAGGAGGAGGAAGGAGGAGGAGGAAGGAGGAGGAGGAAGGAGGGAGAACAAAGAATAGGAGGAGGAGTTGGAGGAAGAGGCGAAAAAAGAAGCACGAGAAAGGAGAATTAACCGAGGAAACAGGTAGAAGTGGTAAGAAGAAGAAGAAGATTGGAGGGAAAAGAGGAGGAAAAGAAAGAGAAGAAGGAGAATTAGAAGAAGAAGGGAGAGGTGTAGAGGGAGAGAGAAAGGGAGGAATGAGGAAGAGGATGGTGACGACAGAGCCCCTGTTATAGCAGGAATGCTCTACAAGCTCTCTCCATAATACTTGTATCAGGTGACTAAGACGACGTACGGGAATAAAAGTAGTTAGCGGGGAAGGAAGAGGAAGACGTCGAACGCATAGAAGTAGGAACTTTATTAGTACTCACCCAGTAATGTTGTTCACCTTCATGATCTCGTATTTGCCATGATTGCTTAGATTCCCTCTGGTTGCGATAAAAATAATTTCATCTCCGCGTTGAATTTTGTCAGCATCCTTACAGTTGTTTAAAACGACTTTGTTTGATTCAGCAGACTTCACCTCCCATGATATCATCACTTGTGTGCAGATGTCTAGGGTTTCATCGTTGCATAACACTAAAATCGACAACGGAAGACTAAAATGTTGCACTGGGTAACCACTTATACTGCTCACAAACGGCTGACTTTACAGATACGAATATTCAACATGGATTCACGCAACGACACAAACATGCTCGTCGTCCAAAATCTAAGCTAGACCAGACCAATAAAAAGAGTGAGGGCAGGAGGAAGAAGAAGAAGGAAGGTTAATGACAATCTACTGGTACTTACAATCTTCACAGTTTTTTCCACTCAGGTTCTTAAATGGACATTTGCATTGGTAATCGTCTTTGTCATAAATCGGCTGACAAGTGCCACCATTTCTGCATGGATTTGACATGCACGGCGTCTTGAAAAGAACAGAGAGGAAATAGATGACAATTAGGTATCAACGAAACTGAATTTGATCAGACACCAATTTTTCTTCAGTATCGAAAAACATTATCTCCTTGACAGAGTGATTGAATTTTAAAACTAACACTTTTGTGTTACTTTGCGGTACTTTACGGAGATTTGTGTCTTGTGCTGATCTTTTACGCGCAAGTTGAAAGGAAGATCTATTCGTTAGTAGGTAATCGATGAACATCAGAATCGCAGGGTCACTAAGTGAAAGAGCTTCCAAATCTGCAAGAGCTTTAAGTGCGTCAAACTGGTTGCGTAATAACAAACCAAACAATCTTCTCTCTAACAATGTTTTGCATCAGTTACTCCAATTAGTTCATACACGTTTTAAAATTAATCCTCCCTTCAATTGTCAATAGAGAAGAACAGACCCTGTTTAGATATCTTTGTTTCACTTCGCTTTCACTTTTTATTCTTAATATTTTTCGTCGAATAATATGTTCGCCAGAGACGATAACATGCATCAGCATAACAGTGTTAAATCAACGCAAAAATGAACATGAATATTGTCATTTGGACGAATGTTTAAAAGCTGAAGTTTCGAGCGTTAGCCCTTCGTCTATCGCTATGAAAAAAAACTCTTCACAGTGGCCAATTTACGTTATCAACTCAGTAGAAAATAGTAAATTACCCTACGATAATTGCCGATTGCAACAATTTTTCGAGGCGAAAACATGCAGCTGCAAATTCAGAGCTAGGGTTAACGTTTTAAGGTTAAGGTTAAAGATTAAGTTAAATGTTGATGCGCTACTACTGCACTAAACAAAATGACAAATATTGCGATCATTATCCCTGATCTGAAACTTTTAAAAAACTCAATGAAAATGATTGGTTTTTTTATTTGTGGTTTCAAGTCGATGCTGTTTTCCTTTTGATAACAAATAATTTTTTACCTACTACCGAGAACTTTATATTACTTCAGAAAGGAATAATTGAATAAAGATTGAACCAAGAAAATACGATGAAAGAGAGAAATATACCGAAAGAAGGAGCAAAGATGGTCATGGGACGAGATGATTCAGACAGATAACAAACCAAAACTGAATTCGAAAAATTGACTTAATTTGTTTTCATGTTGATTAAAAACCATGACTAGCACATGTAACTGACTATGTTTTACAAAAAAAATATACTGAACGTTTTGAAAATGTATCGTTTAACCTAGTTTGCTAACTAAAGCGATTAGATGATGGTGCTTGTTCGCTTCTCTGCTAAACGTGGCGTAAATTCATCAATTACGCCACTCCCTTAATCGCGATTTAGCTACAGTTATGGTGGTTGCCGACTCCATATGACAAAATTGACTAATTTCGACGTTGTGAATCGACTTGTTCTCGAAAGACAAGGGGAACAATACTCGGGAAAACTATTTTTGTCTCGGGAAAATTGTTTTTTCCGGTTTTTGTGAACTCCGGCCCCTATGACCAGTAAAATTATCAACCTTCGTAATTTCCAAGTCTTAGGCAAACAAAAAAGGATATAAATTTAATATATTTTGACGTAAGATATACACCTGCCTAGCTAGATGCTTTTAATTTAAATTGTTTCTTGTATGGGTCTGAAATATATTTCACCCATCTCTTCAGTAAATGAAATACTGTATGCCAAGAACAGATGAATGATTACCATTAAGATTCCTTTTCAAAAGTTCCCTAATATATTTTAAAAGGAAATAATTGCCTAATTCTCCTTATGGAACTAATTAGTACCAAGATCAATACGAGCAATAATGAAAGTGGCAGTTCTTGTTGGGGTTTATTCAAGATGGATTTGTCACCGTTATAGTTTCATCAAAATTGTCGAAACTCGTGCAGATTGGAAAACATGATGTTATTTTTTCTCGCTATCTTTGTTCCCAAAATTTCCCTTTTGCATTTCTACAGACGTCAACTGTCATATGTTAATTAATTTAAAGTGAGTCCGCGTACTAACAATTTCAACGGTAGTGATTTGTTTCGATGCGCTACTGTGGAGTAGAATCAGTAACAAATTCACAGCCTTTGCAAACACCAACTGAAAATAATCGACGTATCGATAGCTTATTTCTCGTAGGAAAATGAAAGTAGCTATAATAATAACACGGCCGCCCCTACCTTTATATTGTAATGGTGAAAATCATGGCTGGGGGCAAACTTGTCCGATCGATTGAATTTGTCTTCGTTTAGCAGTTCGCAAATGTGTTTTCCTTGGGTTTGATCACCGAAGTTTACAGAAAAACATTCACGATTTTTGATGCATTCAAAGGTGCATTCACCAAGACTTGCAACGTGCAATGTAGCGATCGATGAAGTTATCAGCTTTGAAAATGCATTGCCAACAAACTGACCATAATGTACGCCAGAATCTGAAGTCCTTTTGAAGCTCACAGACAGGCTGGTTACATCTTTTAAGTCAGCAGTTGCCACCAAACTGACTAGTAACAAAAACTTTCTGCTCCCAGTTGGAAGTTCCATGTTCAAAGCATCTCTTTTAGCCGTCACTTGTGTTTCCAAGCGTTTCCAGGCCTTGCATATTGAAATTTGCCTACGGACACCTAAAATGTTTAACCAAAAGAGACCTTTGATAAGGCATTAATTATTAATACGGACAATTTTCTTTATTCGGCCAAAGGAAATTTAATGCCGGGCTAAAATGGCAGAGGCGAGAATTGAAAAGAAATTTGTTTGTATAATTTTTGTTGAATGACATCCAGCTGGGAAAAACGTTAAACTTTTCAATTTTGGAAATGTCGAATATTGAATGGTCCCTAAATAAAGGGAATTTTAAAGTTTACAGTTTTTAGGGAAGCACGCATCGCCTATTCCTTCAAATCTACTCACCTCCTCCAGCACCAAGAGCGTATACGACAGGCTCTCCGCTAGAGACCAGGATTTCATCCTTAGGATTCCCTACGAGTTCTTTAGCGTAGATAACCACACTACCGCCGGCACCACTTCCCCTATGTGCTGATCTAAAATTAAATTGCCTAAGCACTGGCCTTGCTCACTTGTAGGATTAGTTTTACAAGAAAAATCAAATCTTTACAAGTGCCAACTTACAACAAGCAGAATCTATTTTTATGCCTATCCCGCACCATCTATGCTGATGATCTGTTTGTATCTCGAGCTGCCCCGGACATAAACATCTCAGACAGAGCAGTTTTTCAATTGAGTACTCACATTTATTCAACATCGCCCTCGGTTTGCTTTATTTTGTTCCGCTCTTGATTAACAAAACTCGCGCCATCCTCTAAACAAATCAGATGTTACCTGTAACATCGATCTGACCTCCCCATTGTCAGTTTAATAAGCTTTAAGAACACTAGGCCTCCACCATTTCCTCCTCTACTCCCAGGGTTGGGAACGATCGAAAAGGCTGAGCCGCCTCCACCACCCATATCCCCATTAAGGCTTAGTCCCTTGTTGAAGTAGATACTGCCAAACTGAAATTCACCTGAAAGACCAAGACACACAACCAGTAGAAAGTTTTCTATCAATTTGTTCATATGATGCCATCACGACATGCACAATTGGCATAATTAATGAAAATTTCAGTAGATTTTAGTCAGGTGTTAGGCAACGTATAATCAATAACAAGATAGAATTTCATTTCAGGCCTATTTATCAATTTTGTGGTGTATAACTTTCGCATTTTAGTACGTACTATGTATTTGAATCTTCAAATTGTCTTGAAACTGAAAAGGAAATTGTTCTTTAAAAATTTACTGAAAATCGGTAGCTAAAATTGTTTGTTTAGGTGTTATTTGATTTTCGTGTTAACTTATAATTTCGTCAGTCGCCAGCATCTTCTGTTGTTTCACACAGGAAAAACACACGATATGAAACGTAATGATCGATTTTGTCCTCAATCTCACGCCATGAACAGAAAAAGCTTTTGAACATCTGTAAACTCCGAGCCCTTCGCAGTAAGTGACATTTTCAATGAATCTTCGGATTATTTTCATGTTCAAGGATTGTAAATTACAATTTTATTAAAAAAGAAGGATGTTCTGTTATTTCAGTGTGAATCCTTGCATGCCTGCCAGTCGCTGGCGCCGCTTGTTGAAACTAAAACGAAAAAAAAACTCTTTTCAGATTATCATTGGCTTCTTTTCCACCCCACCATTATTCTTAGCAACAAAGGTCGCCATTTCGTTTGTTTATTGCTCGCCAAAAATTATCAAATGCACTCAAAAGCCTAAAATCGAAAAAAAGTTTGCAGGAATCGACCAATCGAGCGAGCGAGCGAGTGCCATTCCCCACTTCGTGTCTACAACTCGCTCTTGCGCATGCGCGCAATTCACGAGTTAAAAAGGGACCTTACAGATGCCATATCAAATTGAATAATCATGAATCAATTTTTTTGTCCCTATTGCTTTTGCAATGGCGACTGCGTAGTATTCGACCATTCTTTTTATCTGCTATATTATTTTGCATTTTGTTTCGTGGCACTTCCTTTGCTCCTAAGGGACTTGTACGACCTGAATTGAACTGAGCACTGTTCTAAGGGTATGAATATGCTTCTACACGCTTTCAAGAGAAGAGTCATGAAATATGAAGAAAACGTGACTTGGTTCAGCTGAGTCACGTTTTCCGACGTGATTTATTACTCAACAGTCATATCCAAATCACCGCCTGTTGCCTGTTTGATTGACATATCCTTTGTCCACGTCCTTGCAAGACAATAGTATCAATTTTCACATAAAAAGAGAATTCATTCCTTAGTAACGTTCTTTACGCTTTGATGCGCCCAACACGGCAATTCGCTTAACCTGAGGTGAAGAAAATTTATCAAGAACAAATTTAATTTGAAGTCGACAAAATGCGCTGCGCAAAATCAGAGCTGATAGTTCTTCTCGGTGTCGGAATGTTTCTCGCTGGTTCTATTTCCCTAATTACGATTACGATGCAAAAAATTTTCCCTGCTCGTGAAGAGCAAACCTTTAAAGAAATAAACTGTACGATTGTATCAGGGGACATGAACGCTACAACAAAATGCTCCAATAAAAATCAAGAGGGAAGCTATCCGTGCCTCCGGATATATGTTCTGTGTGGCAAAGATAAGATCAAAGAGAATCCTTCGTTAGAGAGCACACAGCCCCGTTTATTAAGAAAGGATTTTTACAGCTTGCAAAAACAGGTACGTACGTCTACAGATCTCAGTGTGTTTATTCTCATTGTTTTTAATTATGAGAATGGATTTCTTTTCGTTGCCAAAATGATATCAATTAAGTTAAAACGAGCTTTTCGTGTGTTTTGTGTGTAAAATAAGTAGTGGTAATTTCGTATTTTCGTGAATAGCGAATAGTTATTGCGCTGACGAAGTGCAAAAGCATGTCCATATTCTATTTCGCAATAAATGCGCAGTTGGCCTTTGATCCCCATTGTTTATCTAGGTGGTTAATTAGTTATTTTTGCTTGTTATGTATTTATTTTTTGTCCTGGGAAAACCAATCACAATCATCTGAACCGAACCCAGGTCAAGATCTGTCCACGCTACCATCCCTGGCACTTGTCCCACAATTTTGAGTGCAAGAATCTGTCAGGGTGATTAGAAAGCGTGACATTGAAGAAGACACACCCTTCTACCTCCCTCTGTTTCCAATGCGAAAATTTTGAGGTGATCACATTGGACCATAACTATTGCCAGAGCCAAAGAAAGTTCCGTTAGGAAAATTTGCTTGCGTCAAAGCTTGCACAAGGTGTACATCCTAATTACCTGAAAATATACATAGAAAGATTTCACAAGAACTTTTTAAGTTGTTGATAATGATTTGTGACAGCTTACTACATAATGTTGTGGCGATATACCCGTATTAATTACATAATGTTGAGTACCAGGTAGATAAAATTACCGAAATGGCGCTGATAAAAAAATCTTCTTACAACCTGCATGCTCACATTTTGCAATGTACATAGCAAGATCGGGAAGCGATCTGAAACAATTAGGTTCCTATCACTTGAGGTAATTTTTAGATGAGATTATCCCAAAATTCGTGTCCTGTTTCGTCTGAGCGCATAACAATCTCTGCACGTACGTTACGCAATGTAGAATCAATAGTTTTTTCTTGTCACTCATTGGAAATACGTAATGAGTGAGGGGTTCAAGGCGAGGAATCATTCAATAAAACGTGCATTACCTAAGGGCCTCTCCGCACTGGCGGACAAAAGTGGAATTGTCCTGACAAAATCAAAGGAAAAATTTTGTCTAAACAACAAATTTTTGTTTCGTCTGTGGCATCTGCATTAAAAATTTCAAAGCCGTCAACTTCCGTCAGCGCCTGATCTGCTCATAAGACCGGCCAGTATAGTCTGCCAAAGAATTCTACCTCCATTTTCCACGATTTATCCTCAGTCTTTTAAAATTTTAGATATCCGAGTTTCGCAACAAAAGACAATTTTTGCCTTTCTAGCAAACTGATTTCAGTTCAATTACACGCTTGTCGTAGCTTGCACGATAAATGGTCGACATGTGTATCACGGTTTTGTTTATTTGGTCGCTTTTGTCCAGTTTTTACCCAGGACAAATTTTGTCGGCGGTACGTCTGAAGATTTGTCCGCTTTGGCCAAAATTTGCCAAATTGTTTAATAAACAACTTTTTCGCCAGTGCGGAAAGGCCTAACTTTCTTTATTTTCCGCTTTCTTTTCTTTAGTGCACTTTACCGCCAGAACAGTGTAGTGACAAGAAGACTGACAAGCATCCCTTGAAGAAGTTATTTCACAGTGGTAATCCTGTAGGATCAAACCTCCACTGCTTTTACAACCCAAGTGATCCGGAACAAATCGTCAGCCAGAAAGCTTCCAAGGAAAGCTACAACAAAATGGTGCTGAGTAATGTGGTTTGGCCGCTGGCCGTTATACTGTTAGCGGTGATTATTACTGCGGGAGCTGCTTGTTTCCTCGCTACACGGCCTCAAGCCGGTTATGAAAAGTTAGAGGGAGTGACCAGTGCTTCGCTTTATCAAACACTTTGAAAGAACAAGTGCTAGTCATATCACTATCCTGGACCATGATGACTTTCTTCTCCACAATGTGTGCTCGTTTAGGGTCGAAGTGAGAACGGTGCTGAATCTTAGAATTATAACAGATGGAAAGGACATGGGTTGTGACAAGTCATGATCTGTATCTCTGAGCAACGAGTTGATACATTGAATTTTGGCTGACAGAAAAAGAGAAGGCGACTGATAGAGACTGCGTAAGCTGAAGTCGTTTACTTCACAGATCGAGCGGACTTTTGGCTGTACCGTTTACGTTCAAGACTGTTGAATTCGGACAGACTGTAATACCTACGATCAATAGAGCAACAAAAGAGGCAAAGTTGTGAAAATTAAGGAATGTTGAAATTGTGACAAACCATCATAAATTATTATGTAAATATATTGTATCATTCAATATGATTGCATAGCATTTCATCATAGCTTTATCGAAAAGAAGATATTGCGAAATAAAGTACGGAATTGACCTCAGTAACTCTTCAATTTTTGGCTCGGCGAACAAAATTATGCACTGTCACTCTTAGGATGAATCCATGTCGAGAGAAACCCTTCATTACGAACACCTTCACGTCCTAGATTGTCCGACACCCTATCGACAAGAAATGAAACTGTTCACCCTAACAAAGTTTAAGAACACTTAACACTAAGCCTTCTTTATTGAATGAAATATGTATCCGCAGGAAACAGAATATTTAATGTATTCAACCTCCGACGTTCTTAGGAATTCAAGTGTCTCAAATCTTTGGCAATGTCGTCATCCATATATTTGGCACTTGATATTTCCTTTCATGATTATTTCCGTTTCAAGTGATATTCCCGTACAAGCTTTCTAGACCATCGAAAGAGAAAAAAAAAAACAGTATAAATTGTTTCGAGAGAATTGAAAACAATTGTTTTTGTTGCGTCTCTTGCATTTAAGTTTCAACTAATTTACGATTCAAATTGGATCGCGATAATCATTTGCTTGTCTAGACGCGACATAGAACTCCACAAGTCAGCAATTAGTCCTCCGCAAAGGATGAATCATATCAGATTGTCGTTTTAACTTTGCTTCCATATCTTAAAGTTACACTTCTCACTGTACCAAATTAGTGTTGCTCATTGTTTAAGAAATAGCAATCCGGAACACTTTTAACTGGCTGAATTAAATGAAAGAAGTAGAGGGCTGATTACAGTGTTGATTGACTCTTGTTTCACTTTTCTAGCGATCGAAAGCTAATTGTGTGCGAACGTGATTGGGTGGAGCGGAAATGCGTTAAAAGACTCGCTAAGATATAATTGTTTGTCGCACGAAAGATAGGTTTTTTCTCCTTGAAGCTGACCGAAGAAGAGGTGTTTGATAAAACAGAACTATCTAAATATCACCAAGTTTATATCGGATCTCCTCGGAGCGTGCATTTGTAGCTTCAATGTATACCAACTACTTTAAATTCACACTAATTTTGGCGAGTTTTTTGTTTGTTACGGGGTTTATTTCCTTGGTGGTTTTGTCTACAACGCAAGTGATGCCCGCTCGAAGAGGGCTGAGCTACGAAAAAGTAACTTGCCGAATTACACGTAGGGAAATATTTTGTGAAAGAGGAAACTGTAGTGAATGTATCTCTGGTGGAACCAGCACTTCCTTGTGTCTCAAAGTGTACGTGCTATGTGGTAATCACGACGAAATTATAAACAAAAATCTTTCAAGCTACAAGGAAAGCGGATATCTGCTTCGTAAAGATGTGTACCACTTGAACGACCAGGTAACATAAATTCTTAATAGCTTTTTTATATAATTTCTCTCAAAGATGGTTAGGACTTAGTTCCAAATTTTGAGATAACTTAGTATGCAAATTTTTTTTATTTTTACATTTACATATCAGCGCATCCAGAAAGTGAACGCCTGGAAACATCGTATAAAATTTCCACCTAAAAATGAGTTAGTAGTTTTGCGCTTTCGTATTTGATTTGAAAAATTTAACCATGATACTGCTATATAGGTAACATTTACCAAATAAATTTCAATACTTCATGGATATTTCAAACAGTCGACTCCTCCTCGCTCAGTCAAGATAATAGGGAATTAAAGGCCAGAAAAAGCGTCTCTCAATATTTTATTTTTCCAATACATTATTTTCGCGAACAACAATCAGCTGTAGCCAGATCACTAGTTCAAGTGAACTTTTCCTGTGGCTGACGTTTTGTTTACTCCTTTTAATCAAGCACAGAGAATAATAAAAACTAATAAAAATAATAATAGGCATCCATGTGAAAAGACAGAAACGGGCCATGAATAACTCGGCAGCTGTTTCGTTGATTAATTTCTACGTGCTAACAACTAAAGTCAAGGAACTCGCGCTACGCGCTCGTATCGGGGATCACTCGCATGTGAAACTCGCGTGTAAAATTTCAACTTCGAAAAAGCCAGCCACCCAATTCGCGCTTTTACTAAATTGAGAAAAAAAGGAAAGTGAGGAACATTATTATTATCAAAATGAGGCAATCCTTATCACTCAGCAAAAGTTTATCTAACATTTCTGTGTTTCCAACAATTCCTTCTTTTCAGTGCACTCGTAAACTAGATTCAATCTGCAACTCGGACTTAGCTCCCACCCCAAATGGACTGCACCATTTTCAAGTTGGAAAGGGGAAGACTGGGCCTACCTACCAGTACTATCGCAACCCAAATGTCCCGGATGAGGTTGTGTACGAAAATCACAGCAAAGAACATTACAGAAAGGTCGTGCTACACAGCGTGTTGTGGCCGACCGCTTTGATAGGACTTTCCATTTTAATTGTCACTGCAGCCATGTGCCTTAGCCCAACGTCGAGAGATTACAGAAGAATACCGTAAACTGTTAAACGAGTGGAAACTAATGATTGAGGGTTAAGTTGGGTTCTGCTATGGTTTAAATTCCTTGCGGGGTAAATGGACACCACGGGAAAAAACCGCTGGCTCAAGTCACAAGATACCAACCAAGTTCAGTGAGAACTTAAACAAGTTCATAATTGCTAGCAAGAAGGTTGAGGTTTATCAGCGAGAGGGCAGCAAGTACCGCTCGAAATAAGGTCGTACACGATTAAGTAAAATAGTTTAGCTAATGTACAAATAGTAAGATTGTTAACCATTTACAAAACATGGCTAGAGAGTACGGACGCAGTCTTTGTATCGTTATATAGTAAAAGAAATAACCCTTTCACTTCGTTAAGTTAATGATAACAGCTTGAGGTATTTTTTTTGTCGGGGTTTGAAACTGGAAAATCAAACCGAGCGTACTTGTAATAAATAAATACTCTGTCAAATAACATGAATTTCATTGATTTATGATTGTTAACCAAGATTTTATTGTACACATCAACATTTTCATCTTCAAGTGAAAAACCGTAATTTTTTTAAAAGAAAGTTGACCGATGAATCCTCGCCTTTAAGACCATGTAGCTCATTCTCGTTTCCTCCGTAGCGGTGTCATAGTGTCCATTAGTCCGAGAAGGTAGCATTTGTGCAGTCACGTGGTGTTTTATGTTATTATTCGCGTCAGTCTTGGAGCAATAAGCCTGAGTAATGCCGCTGTGCAAGTTACATAATGTCCTTCTTTTGTCACACTCCGGAAAGCCTCTGTCTCCACGATTTCTTTCCTTTGCGGAAATTTTGTTCCCGTTGTCTTCTCCTAGACGGTCGCTAGGATCACAGCACCTATTCCACAGAGATTTTTCATTCTCAGTGAGCCTCGGACCCATGACATATTTAATTCCCTCACGCCATCCTTTTCTCTCAGGTTTTTTGTCATTCCCACTGGTCAGACAAATAAAACTCGGTACCACCTCTATTGGTGGCAAAAGTCCTTTGTTATTTTCACCAAAAGGTTTTCCCCTCAAGTTCTCTTGCATTGACCTTGGATTGCCTCTTGAAGTGTTCGGAGAGTCGAGCCAGGGCAGGACGAGATTTTCCTCTTCAAAAATCTTCCTCGACACACAAGTGTTTCTTTGGTTCAAGTACTCTAGTTCATTATAATCATCCGAACAGGGCGTCCTTTCTGAGTTTTCCTCTCTTCTAGTTTTTCTTCCTCTTCTTTTTGCTACATTCTGCTGGTCAATTACCGGCTGACTGTTCATCTTGACTGATGACGTTAAGTCATTGTGTCTTGATGAACTCAAAGGGAGCCTGGCGTTGTGGTCTATTTCAAGTTCTTTGTTCAGATTGACATTTCTTCTTTTGAACGCTGCATTTTTCTGCCTATGATAGATTTTCGGATGCAAATTTTTAAAGGGATTTTCCATTCTCTCCATTTCGGTCTCCTCAGTGTCACAAGACTAAGCGATGCTGTTGGCAACTGAAAACACGTTGAAGGACCTCCACAAAGTCACTTCATTTGTTGCTATGAAAAACAGAGAAGTCTTATAGATAATTGATCAATGATTATTGTAAACATCTTAAACAGAAAAACACTCGCTCTATACCAAGGCATCATTAACCGTCTTGTTTCTATTTCCGATCAACCCTTGAGCTAAGCTGAAAAAGCCTGACATTAAGTCAAAAATCAACTAAAACAACTAGAAGAATTTTCGTTGAGAGAGATATACTGATGCAAATCAAGGTAGAATGACTTATCTTGTATAAACAGCATCAGGAATCAGCCTCTCAAAATTAACATCAGTTCTGAATTAATAAAGTTTACCTTATAATCATTCTGATGCAAATTAATGAAGAAGAATTAATAACTTCTTTTTCACATCTCAACATCTCACTGACTGTGGTGTTCGTAACAAACTGCTTATGGATTCAAATGTGTCTTACGCGGATGAACGAATATTATGGGAAAAATGGCGCACATCTCATGGAAACACCACCAACTCAAGGCGTTTAGTTCTTAACCTCAATTTTTTGTCACGGAAGAAAAGGAAATTCATTTTATTTACTTCGAAAAATTCAAATCTTCCACATACATGTCATGTCGATTTTAATTCAAAATCTATCATCAGCTAGTTTGGGAATATTTTCAGCGACGGATTTAAGTGGCGTCGGAAATCTTCTGCTAACCTCCGAATTTACGAGGGTTCCACCTCAGATTCTTCTCTCTGTGACTGCCTACATTTCACCATAATAAATAAGGCTTAAGATTCTCTCCAACCTAAGATTGCCACACTTACCTTTTCTCATTTTCTTTACTTTCGTGTCTGATGCCGCGACGCCAGTTTCGCCGAATATCAAACATATAGCTACTGCGCAAAGTAAAATGCTTGGCTTATCAAACATCGTTACTAAGTTACGCCTCTTCTTCGCCAAGGTGAACAAATATACGTTGACAACATCAAATTTCCTATCCATTAGAATCAATCTGCCTCAGCTGAGAGATGTTAAGATGATAAGTAGGTTTAATATTTGAGAGACTCTTTTTCACAGAGTGGGTTTATCAAAATCAAGATCACATTGTGATCAGAAAAGCAAAAAATGACGAAGCCAGTGTAAAGATTAATTATATTTTCTTAGATAAAACTGGCACGCAATCCTAATAGCATGCTTCGCTTATTTGTGCTGCGCCATGAGCACGTAATATCTCATTAAAATTTCAAATAGCTGATCTAAAGTCAGGCCGAAAATAATCATATTGATTTTGTTTTGATTGCCTCACTATGGTTAACTAAGGCTAATCTTTCAGATCAAGTCAACTGGTCATGCTTTTGTTACGACGCTCGACAGCTTTAGCTGATAATTATAATAATAAAAAATGGTTGTTTCCTGTCTTTAAGGGTTCTTTTACTCCACCACTTTAAGTCTTTCAGAGACGTCATACACACTCAGCAAAAAACAGCATTTAAATTCACAAAAAATTATTCGATTCATTAATTAAATGAATATTTCTTTGATGTTTTGGTTTCCTGGCTCCGACAAGAACAATGATATTAATAATAATAAGAGTTCTCAATAACGCATTCTTTATATAAATATCTCGATGCTTTTTACAACTAAAAGGAAGAGCTCTCACAAAACAGGTACGTTTTCAACGCCCTTTTAAAACTATCAACAGAGTTACTTTGTCTAATGACAAGTGGTGGCTGATTCCATAACTTCGGAGCAATAGCCGCTAAATATCTATCTCCGTAAGTAACTGTAGTGGTCTTAGGGATAACTAGAAGGTTGGAATCCCCTGAACGAAGAGAGCGACATGGAGTGTAATGATGTAACAGTTCATTGATATACACTGGGGCAAGGCTGTTAAGAGATTTGTACGTAATCAAAAGTAACTTAAAAACTGTTCTGTTATTAACAGGAAGCCAGCGTAACTTCTTTTAAAACAAGAGTTATGTGATCAGTCTTCTTCATGCACACACTTAATCTTGCTGCGGTATTCTGTAATCTCTAAAATTTCTCAGTTGCACGGGAGGGAATTCCATAGAGCAAACCATTACAATAATCCAATTTCGATAAAACGAAGGCATGGACATTGCGCTCAGTATCCGCTTGCGAAAGATATTTTTTGATTCTGCAATAGAATGAAACGGACGGGAAAGAGCGCGACAGGTGTTGTTGACATAGGGTGAGGTGTGAATCAAGCGTGACTCGTGTGTGACAAGTGTGGCTGCGGGCAAAATTTATGCTTTAATTAATTTTTCCTGGGTCAAACAAGCAAGAAATTAAAAATACAAACAACGACAAATACTTTGAACTTTGGATGCATTTTATTGACTGAAGTATTCAGAAAATTTCTTTTTTGTGGGTGGGGCCGATCAATTTCCCTAAACCAGACAAGACCAAAACTAAAGATCATAGTTTGGTGATGTTGGGGAATAGAACTTGCTCTCAATACTGAGTCCTATAACTTTGAAAATAAAGCCAGCAGACATTTCAAATTCCTTAATTATCGCTGTCGTAATCGTGATTGTCATCGTCAAAATCGTCTTCATATAGTTCATCGTTATTATGATTATTATTGTTATTATTATGAGTGAGATATTCTGGATAGTTCATTGTGTTCTTTTCTCCGGTCCGTTTGAGCTCCATAATAAGTGTTACAATGACAGATTAATGTTGAACTCCTTATTTGCATATACAACACACACATATTAAATTTTCCAAAAATAAATCATCTGATGAATAGTCGAACGTGAACTTTATTCGTTGACTCACGATTGTTACTTTTGATGTTGATCGCGACGTTTCGACTGCAATACTGCCAGTCTAAATCAGGCGATGGGGTCGTTAAGATAAGTTAATTACCCATTTTTTTGTTTTTTTTGTTTTGCCTTTTTTTTTGTCGACTTGAGGTGTTTGTTCAACATAAGAAACAGCGGAAGCCAAGATATGCTAATTGTCATTAGATATATGTTTGATTTTGAGGTTGGCGACAGGTAAAAAGCTATTTTTTTTTATTAAACCAGCCAAATCAATTGCGAATCAGTTAATAAGCTACTGTAAATAAGCAAAAAATGATAGTGATGCACAACAGCGGCAAGGAAAGAAATCAGCCAGTGAAGTGAAAAACTGTACGAAGGATTCTTAGAAAACCAGAAAAGGAGAAACAAATTATTTACCTGTGTACTTTTATCTCAAAAATTAATACTAGTTATGCTTCTTAACAACGGGTTTGAACTTTGAGTTTGAATCCTAACTGCTTTTGTTGCAGCTAAGCAACCACATAAACAGGAACAAACACCCTTGACTTATTTTTAGGACGATTTGATTCCAAATAAGTAAACAATATCTGTATAGACTTGGTGCTGCATTGTTGTGTAAAATTGATTGACAATTATATCAGACAGTTGGCCACATCAAATTAACAATTAAACCTTGTTCAAATATTTTTCTTTACATTCAATATTTATTATTTGTTTACGTTTTATAATTTGTAGCATCGACTGGACTAGGCGATCATAAAACTATTATTCTAATTATTTAATAAACAGATGAATAGAAAGATTAGTAAGCCCGTTGAGGTAGCAATTTAGGTGAAAGTTTGGTCGTACTTGGTAAGTAACTGTGTTATCCAGCTGATAATTCTTACTACGCAAAACCCTATGGTTGGATTTCCCCACGAAAATCTGTAAATCTCTAAGTCTCTGAGAGTGTTCTAGGCAAATTAAACGTGTGAATAAGTTATGACCCAAACTTTACTGATTGTTCACGTCATAAGTATTTTTATGATTTTGTTTTTTTCTATGAATTTAACAAGCAATTATTGGATGAGGGTAAGCAAAAATAAAAAATTGTATGTTTTAGAAACTTAGGAAGAAGAGTTACTCACACTGTAAAGCTAACGCATGAAGAGATCTTCTTGTGACAGAGACAATATAGAGGACGGTGGATCGTTAGTGTAAGGTAAAACTATGGCTGTCGCAGTCGCCATGCTTTCCGACATTTTTACCTTATTATTGTAAATTAAACTATTCGTGAAATCTGATTTGTCGAGAGTATTCAAACCACAATTGTGTTATTATACATTTCTTAAATGCGTTCAGCCATTGCGAGTTTCTCTCTGAGCCTGAAAAAGTTTGAGAGCACTAGACGGACGAGGAGGCTTGAAAACTATACAGACCCTGAACGCAATATCCTCTGCATATATTGGAATTATCATGTCAAATTCATACGCTATTGTATATTGATTGAATACTCTCGACCAATCAGATTTTTCATAGTAAGTTTAATGCCTAATGATATGCAATTGCGTGTGAAGTTGACAGGATAGATGCAATATCTGCGGTGGATATTGCATTTATCAGAGAGACTCAAAATGGCTGAACACTTCGCCTCAGTTTCTGAGGAGAAATTAAAATTTTTGATTGAAAATAAAGATTCAAAAAACACCAAGAGAACAACAAAATGTTAAGATTCTAGATGATTATTTGAGGGAGAAGAACCTTGAGGAACCACAAGATATAACCCCTTTGGCCTGTGTTCTGAAGAAGTTGTGCGCCGAAGCTAGAAAAATTGATGGCAGCTCGTACTCAAAAAGTTCCATGACTTCTTTACGATTCGGACTTAACAGGCATTTCAAGACAAAAGGAACTGACATTATCAAAGACCCAGAATTCGTTGTGGCGAATAAAATATTTCTAGCGAGGTGTGTTGATTTAAAACGGCAGGGTTTGGCCGAGGTTGAACACAAACCCGCTATTTTAGAAAACGACCTTCAAAAGCTGTACGAATACATGTTTTCAAATTAGATGATCCCAGAACACTTCAAAACAGAGTTTTTTCGAGATTATGCTTTACTTTTGCCACCGTGGCCGGAAAAACCTTAGGGAGCTGAAAATAAAAGACTTTTCATTCACATGAAATGAAAAAGACGCTCGATATGTGTGCAAAACCGGCGATGAGTTGACAGAAAACAGGAGAGAAGACGATGAAGTCTTCAAACGTGAAATGGTGTTTGAAAAAGGTGGACTTTATTGTCCCGTTGCTTCTTTGGAACCCTACATAAAACATCTCAATCCCAAGAATGAGTTTTTGTTCCAAGGGTCAAAGAAAGGAAGTAAAATCGGAGCGGACGATGTTTGTTTTGATAATATGGCGGTTGGTGAGCGCACGCTCGCCGAGAAAATGAAAAATATCTCCAAGGAAGCAGAATTGTTAAGGGTTTATACAAATCACTCAATAAGGGTCACTCCAATCACAGCTTTGGAAACGTGTGGGTGTGAAGCCCGTCACATTATTGCTGATCATGATAGTGGCCACAAAAGTGAGTCGAGCATACAGAGTTACTACAAAACAGACACTGACACCAAAATCATTGATATCGTATATGTAAATTTTCCTGAATTTTGCCCAGCGGTTGAATGAAGATCAAGATTTTAAAAAATAAACTAGGATGACGCAAAGACTCTGAAATAGCAAGCGGATTTAAAACCTGCGACTAAGAATCACTCTTATACAACATGTGCTATTATTATAAATTAGAATTACTATGAAAAATGTGATTGTTCCAGAGCATTCAATCAATGTACAATAGGGTGTAAAGTTGACGTCGGCACAATATCTGCAGCGAATATTGCTCTAATGATTTCGAGTTCAAATTCTACCTAGTTTCCAGGCCCCTCGTCCACGTTGTGTGATATTGTACGGTTATTTGGACAGTTGGTTATTTTGTACTGTAAAAAAAATCTGTTTCACCAACTGGTTGCACGCCTTAGCTTCGCTATCCGCTTTGCTTTTCCCGCCTTAAGAGAAATAAGCAGAAAGACTTAGCAGAAAAAAAGGCAGTTGGAAAATAGATTACTTATTAGACGTTTTAGTGTGTAGTATCGCTAAGTATTTTTACTCGTTGTTTGTATTTTGCCTTTACTTACAAGCTCGTAAAAATACTCAGCGATACTACAACAAAACGTGTAATAAGATACGTCACTTTGCTCAATTGGGTTCAAACTGCCCCACAGAGACACATACGGTAGAGAATGGACAATTAATAATACTTTGTCATCATAGAAACCACCATCATCTGATACTGAGATTACGTTAAACGACGCTTTTATCCACGTCAGCGTCTTTTTTGTTCCTCGATGTTATTTTCCTTAATTTTTTCCCGTTACATATTTAGTCTTATAAAAGCTAAAAATAAATTATGAAACCAAATGAACGAGAATTATCATGATTTTGGGTGATTCAAAATCCCTTGATCGAGATATCTCTTAAGGCGAGAAAAGAATGGGCACTTTTAAGACGAGACTGAAAATTCTACAAACAAACATTGATTAAAAAATTTGAGTGAAATGGTGGTCAAACGTTATGACTTTCGAACTTATTTGACGCCAGACTGTGCAACAAATTTGGCGAAAATCAAGCGGAGGTTTACGGAATACACCCTAACTGTTAATACTGCGTCCTCCTGTTTAATGGACCCGAGCTAAGGAAATGTAAGGTAAAAAATTGTTACAATTGAACAAACGGATGCCATTTGAGCCAGCATTGATCGCTATGGTAAATATCGTGTATAATGTAAACAACGATAAGTGATGACGTAAATGTCAGGTCAGAGCGCTCGAGAAGCACTTAAGGAAAAAGATACATCTGAAGTCATTTGTTTTTACAAGTAAATAAAGCACGGCCGTCAAGAAAAGATTTCAATGACAAATGGGGGTTTAATTTTTTTAAAAGAATTATTTTGTTAGCTGTGACGTTTCCAAAATTTTAATCAGTATACATGTTTTCGTATTGATGTCTGGCTCTTCAAGAATTCAACTAAAATTGAAACTTTTCAAACTTTCGTCCAAGCCTTTATCGCTATCTAGGCAGCTGGAACAATGAACCTTGCAACTGCGTCAAGAAAGATCGTTATCTAATCTAAATTGTGACAAAACAAAGGAACATTTTGTTTCCTAATAATAATAATATTAATAGCCTACTCCGCCATACTTGATTAATCTTCTTTGTTTTAAACGATCAATGAATCTAAACAACCAACAAAGATGTGGATTCAAGATCCCTTCTAGTTTGTTCGAAATATTTCAAATATTGGTGTTGTGTTTTAAATTAGAGTATTTTGTTTTCATGAAAGTTTTGCTAAGTTGGAAAAATAATCAGCAGTTCCTTTGTACATATTTTTACACGATCGCATTGTTAACTTACAGAGTCTAATACAGTCTTAAGTAGTTATCTACCCCCGCGGAGGTGATTATAACCACTGTTAGCATCATTTTGTTTACGGCAAATAACGAACTGTTTGCCATTTAGTTGTGTAAAGTAAATTCTTCTCGCAAACTTTTGTGCCGTCGGGTTTTCAGTTGTTTGAAAATGTCGTTCAATGAGAATTTAAAATAATGTACAAATGCAGTCCTGCTCGAGAATAGTAATAGTACGTATTTGACACCTTTAAACAAAGTACAAAGAGTCTTGGCTTGTATTATACACGTGGCGTTTCATACAGCTTTGACTTCCCTGTCGTTGATGTCAACAAAGTCTCCTTATCAACAGAAATACCTCGCAAACTGAGTTCACACAGTGAGCTTGAGACACCTCGCTTAACGGTGGTGTTATTCACGATTTTGTGTCAAATTGTTTCGGTGAAATCCGCAATTCAGTATCATCTACGGTTTTCGTCATGATGATAAACACCATTCACTGTGAACAGATCTTCGTCCTCATAGTTTGAGTTGACGTTTATAGCTCCCTTTGGCAGTATGAGTACATCATTACGGTGTAGCGATGGAACGCAGCTGGGTCGTTCCAACTGATTATGCCTCAGCTCAGCTTCCAAAGGTGGAAGATTGGTTGAAAGAAGCGAAACTCGTCGCTCTTTCCTACAAGTATCACTTCTAGCAGGTGAAGCTGCCAAGCGATCACCGGGTGAACGACCCTCGCGTTCAAGCAGAGGTGCATCGCTTAACGATCTCCATCGATATTTCGGAATGAAGTCGGCCTCTTCGTTGTTCAAGTCAGCGGGACAACTTCGTCTCTTCGCAGTGCCTGGATCGACTCGAATCGATGGCAAGGGTTCGTTCGGTCGGGTTACCGAAGCTCTTCTCAGCAAGCCTTCATCAAAGAGAACGTTTGAGTCAACATCTTCTTCCGCTCGCTTTCGAATAATTTCGAGGACTTCCTTTGTGTGTTCTTTAGTTGGTCTGTTGCGTAAAGCTCTATTTCTGATCTCTTCCGTGTTTCTCATACCGCTATAGTTGGCAAACGTTAATCGAAGATGACTGTTTCCTAGATTAAACCACGTCAACGGTTTAAGAGCGAATGACTCATTTTATCTTCAAAGTCCTTGTTATAACAGTTTGTATCCAAAACAATAAAAACTTGCGTCAAATGAGCTATTAATGTTCTATTCCGCCTGGGATAATAGCGGTTAAATGCAACGTAACCTACCCATCTTAAACGAACCGTTTCTGAGTCAAATAATGACGCTGCCACGGCCACGACACACCAGTAGTGAGACTAATATCACTAAACGCTGAGTAAAGGGCAGAGCTAATTAAGACGGTCCAATAGCTAATGTCAAAGTGTGACCTCTTAAAAACCCATTGTTTCATAGCCTAAGGGACTTTAGGCTAATTAATCGTCATTTATGTATAGAATAAAAATTTGTTAACGAACACAGAACAATAGATTTACTGGGGTTTATTAAGCTCCGCTCTCTCCAATTGTGCCCTTAAACGACGCCTTAATCTTTTGCACAAATTGATCAAAGAAAGAAACATTGCTATTAGCTTTGTCTTTGAAAAGTCTGAAAAGCTTAGGAAATATCTTGTCGGGAATCGATTGAAAGCATTTTTACGACCGAAAAAATATGTCGGCCAAAATGTTAGGACGTGAATTAATGTCTCTTCATAATTGAAGTAAGATTCATGATTCCGGAACTACTGTATTTTCTCTAATCACTGCGAAATACTATAATGGAGGTTTGAGGGAAGACTCTTGTTGTGACAGACGCAGTTTTATGACCGCAATTAGTGGGTCAAACACTGCATGTGTGTATCAACATAGTGTGTTTTAAAATCTTTAGAACCCATTACCAAACATGAATGTTAAAATCATATACGTCAACATAAGCACTCTTATTGAGGGACAATTTGTTTTCTTGAATTTTAAATTTCCATGCATCTAAGTTGCCTTGTTTCGGGTAAATAGTAAAATAAACCCAATGGAACTGTTTGGATGACTTGAGACAAAAGCAAGTGTTATTTTGAGATAAACAGCAAATGTTTCAACCTGATTTTAAAACAAAATAGCCCTGTTTACACCACTTTCATCTTATAACTTAAGATTATTCTGACACGGATAGATATTCGAGAACACTTAGAGATACTGCACTAAGGTTATTGAAGAATACTTACTGGTATGTTCTTACAAATATGAACCAGATTTATTTCTTTTGTGTACTGTACTCGTGTTCTATTACGGTTCATGTGAAAATGTACTTCTTTAAGATGTGGATGAATGTCCCTTCGCTATCCAGCTCTTTTTGATTACTCCTTCTGTTCTTCCTTTGACACAATTGATACAAGAGTAAATTATTTCCTAAAGTCCAGATGATGAAATAATGAATGACAAGCCTATATTCAAACAGAAGAAGGCTAATGGCCAATAATGGTTTCAAATGAAATGGATTACAGTCTTTGTTTTGTTGAACCTTACAATTCCTGAGGAGAGTACAACATGAGAACTAAACTATGACTTTGTGTTAAGAAAACCGGAAGTCACAGACCGAGTTTAGTCTCGTCGTAAGTATTTAATTGACCATGATACTTCTTGGTTGGTCAATAAAAAGCTAACGGTTTCCGTTTGGCTACGTGAAATTTCAATAGTTGTTTTCATCTTTCTCTCAAAACAATGCAATCATTAATAAATGAGGTGAGGGTGGGGAACAATTAAAATTTTTTGAATACAATACCATTGGGAAATTCTAGAAACTTCATTCGATTTTTTTAATTACGAAAAATAATTTACATATACACATCATTCCTTTTCAGAGGAACGCAGGAGATGTAAGGTAAACTGAATTTAAGCTTAGAAGTACAATCAAGTAAAAGTTCCCCAAGTGCTTACATCTAGAACTAAAAATTTTTGTTTTCAGCATATGACCCTGGCATTAGCCCGATTCTAACAGTGTATTGGAACATTCCTCCAACTGAAAACGGTCTCATGCGTTGGACTTAGGCTTTATTTTGAAATCTCAAGTCAGGGTTGTTTGAACGACTGCGATGCACTAACCTAGTTCATTGTATCTGTTGCCTTTTACGATACTTATGTAAGGGGTTTTGCATAAGGAAGATTAACAAGGCTAAAAGTTGATATCACACAAAATTGTGATTTTGTGCATTAAAGCATAACCATTAAACAACTTCAGAATTTAATTAATATATATATATATGCTTTTATGATCGTGACAACAACCCCCTGTCGCTAAGCACTGTTTGACCTCTTTTGATCTGTATCCTGGTTACATGTTCAAGACGCGAAACTGAATAAAATCAAATACTTTATCTTGTTTCTAGAAGAAATTGTCTTCAAGAGCGCGCCAGTTTAGATTAAGGACGCTTTAAATGGGAGGACGTTACCTGCAACGATACCTGTTGGCAATGACAAGAATACAGATAACGTTAACTATGAAAGGTATGTGGCCATTGTAGTTAGTTTCATCGTTGCAGGTTGCTACTATTGCAAAACACTCGAACTCAACCCAACGAGAAAAAGCGGCAGAATGTTAAGCTGTGAATGTTACAATATACACCCTAACTCAGTTGAAATGGGTCAAGTTTGAAAAAGAGCCTTGACGAACTTGGAAATGGCGCCATAAAAAATCGTGGCCGGTTTTATAAATTTAATCGCACAACATTAAAGATCGATATATGTGCTCAGATGACCATCCAAAACAGCCATGTTGCCGCTAGCAGCCTCTGTGACTTCCTTCGTCTCGTAGCCGTGGTTACTGACTACAGGTGGAACTTTGCCTTAGTATTGTTGTTAGAAAATATATATTTATATTTAATTGTGGGAAATTGTACCAAATGCTGTAGGAAAGTGCTCAATACACGCGAGTGTAGAGCGAAATACAGTTCAAAATAACTAAAATGAAACGCGCATGATTCTCTGTTACTCTGAGTTTCGTACTTACGCACTCGTCAGACAGATTAAATCTGTCTGACGAGTGCGTAAGCACGAAACTCAGAGTAACAGAGGATCATGCGTGTTTCATTTTAGTTATTTTGAACTATATTTGTATTTATGTATCCCTAGCAACAAGGCAGATCATTCAAAAACTAAGGAGATTTTGATCACTCCTAATGGGATTTTCAACTCGTCTTCTGACAACGCATCAAACTTCAGTTTGTTTTCTTTAGATGGCAGTAAATAACCGATATGGGCATCTTAAGATGGAAAGAAAAAGAAAAGAGCAGGATAAATCTACCCTCAGAGGTATGTTGCTGTACTTTCAGCCAATTAATTTAAAGTTGATCACTTGCCATAAAATTTGAAAGTTTCATTTAATTACCGTTTAGGGTAAGTTTAGGGGTAATCATGCAGGCAGTTGTAATAAAGCTCTACAATGACAAGAAAACAGAAAATGCGTGTACAGTCGAGAATACTTTTAAAAACTACTTCTTCTGCCTTATCAAGGGAATAGTTTAGACATCACTCGTTTTTTTTTTGTGCCGTAAGTGTTGGTTGATTACTCACGAGACATGGTAAGCGCAAAAGCCACGTAGAGAGAGCCCTTAGTTATAAAATATAAAAACAATCAAAGGCAAAGTTCCTTACTCTTCCACATAGAAGTAAGGAATTATGTGAAATATTGATCATGTCTGATAAGCCACAAAATCAGTCCAAATTTTGGTGAGTTAAAGGAATTTGAGCGGGAGAAACCATTGCCCAGGGACATAGCAACTGAAAAAACATTGCATGTTAGTCTATTACTGATCATAAATGTCACTAAGGAAATCTAAAAACTTTTTAAATAGCGATTACGATAACGAAATATTTAAACCCAAGTAGGTCGGAAAAGAGCACGCTTTTTAAAATAAATATTGAAAATTTATATATTTCCTTCTCTTTGTCTTGCAATTGAGTTCAAAAGACATTTCGTAATCAGGTACGACAGTTTTGAAACTCTTAAACAATATCTGTAACGTTGTGGGTGCCTTGTTCTTTATTGGACAATCCTCTTAGATTATTTTAGTGATGCACTGATATGATGTGGTGCAGGCAACTCTGGTTTGCAGTAATTTAATTTCATGAAAACTTTTCTTTGCCAAGTTGTAAACAGGAAAGATTATTTTTACAGAAAAAGCAGTGAAAGAACACTGACTACCTTTGGCATCGTCAAACTAAAAGACTCTATGACGCAAAGGAAGCTTAACACTATAACAGTTTTATTCCCTTTTCTACCACTGCTTAAAAGCATCACACAGACTAAAATCTTTCCATCACGGAAGCAGGATGTAGGTTAGAAGAAGCTGGTGAAATGAATTTAGAAACTTTCCAACTGCTTGACAGTAGGGCATCTGAAATAACAAATACCATTTTATTCCAGTAATGCTTGTGACACCATCAGGAAACTTAATTTTAGATGTGCGGAGGAGAGGGTGGTTTACATTACGGGTTCCATATAACCTTAGCTTATTAAACAATCACTGAAAAAAAACCAAACATACTTACGGTCTGAAGCTAGGCAATTTTATGTTTTTCCCACGCTTTAAGCATTTTGAGAGATTCCTCGAAGGATTTCAGTGGTGTTCACCGTTGGTACTTTATGGATTTTGTCACCTATAGTGGGTCAATTTTGCTTTTACTAGTTAAGAGTAATATTGTTTGTCATTACATTCAGTGAAGAAAAAACGCAAAAACTTTTTGCGCACTAAGAGGGTCAGTGTTTCCTTCAGGCTAGCGGTGATGTTTAAAAGGGCTATGACGTTGCTGATAGGGTTTTAATTTGATTTTTCCCTGAATATTTTCTCAAGATTTTGCAAATGGAAGATAGATTGCGGCATGGAAGCTAAACACACATTATTCATTAACCTTTTAAAAACTTCTTTGTTTAAAATGACCGAAAAAGGAAAAAAGAGCTTACAGGATTCGAGCAGCCCTTAAAACACGCCGAGTTCGTGTGGGAAAGTCGCACTGTCAAGAGACTGACTCTACAAGAGACTGAATGATAAAGAGGCCGCGGTGGCTCAATATTAGGGAACATCTTTAAATACACGTCATCAGAGTGTGGCCAACCTATTAAAATATTAGATTTACTTTGCTATTGGTTCGGAAATCAAAGATATTCATTTTTATCTGAAACGTGATAACAAACTGTCATGCTAAGATTGTTTTTTTTTTTTGTATACCCATCATATATTAAATTCATTCTTCTTAATGACATTTTTATCGTAAAAATTTATAATGAAAAGTCTTCGCTACAATTTCTCTTGCCTCTCTTCCTATAATTAGTTGACGTCATTCATTCGTGGAATTTAGTTCAAATTTAATTCAGTTATGTTGGTCTTTTTATCGATGTATGAATCGTTCTGATGTCTCTAACCTCGTTCAAGTCCTAATTATGCGCAAAAAATATGGCATATCAAAGCTTCGGAAATTGAAAACGTGGCCTTAGTTTATAACAATAATGAAAACTGTGACAAGAGAGAGTCGTTATACAAATTGAACGAGTACAAAGTTAATATTGCAGTCAATTGAATATCAATATGATCCATTCTGCTATTGGTTGTTTACTGGTGATATTTGTCTTCGTTACTCGCGTAGAGCGAATATAATTAGCGCCAAGAACACATAAAAAGAGTCTCTAGGCATGTGTGTAACTTCGGTCTTCTATTCAAATAGTTCATTGCCTAGGTGCTGCGTTTCTATAGTGGAAAAGCAAATACAGCAGATTTCTTCGCCGCGTGTTAGTAAATAATTCCTTACTGTTCCGGCAAAATAGAACAGTGTCGAAGAGGTAAGCGCATTAATTCTGGTACATTATCCTTGAGTTCATCAGTTGACATTATTTTTCATTCTTCTTTATGTCTGTCGGTAAAAATGTGTTCTGACAAACGCAGCTGCCGGGTATTTTAGAAAAATCTTTTGGTCCTCTGAGATTATCAATACAAGTTGATGAAAGTACAACTGAGATTCGATAAATAAACGGAACTTAGCCGCGTACATCTTAAAGATTTGCCAAAATGCGTGGTTAACATTTGATCAGTGAGGGTAGCAGCGTTCACCTCTACACTCCAAACTTCACATTGACTTCAGATTATTATAGTTTTTTTCTTTATGGACAGCCAACCAATTATCCTAGAAAAGCTGCCGAGCTTCCAGAGTATGTAAATTAGTAGGAAAATATCTCTACCAATCTTACTTTTAGGGCTCTCATAATTATGCAACGTAAAACTGAGTACAACTGGAAACTGTTAGCAGTCTCATGAAGAGATCCGTAAATGCGAAGTAGCTATTGACACATAGCTCTTGGAATCAAGGTTGAACAATCTGAAATCATTTGGCATGACAAAAGTTTAACATGGCGATATTCATTTTCATTAATGCCAATATTTTAGTTCAACACCAATGTTGACATTGCTCGAACAGCCATCAATGAAGTGTTATCTTCATCACAAAACGTTCTCCAAGGAATATTTGCTGTTACTATTATTTGAATACCATCCTGCTTTTAGAGTCATTTTCGGACAGAATAATAGCAAATGTGGAGATACAGGGGGGATTTGAATTGCATAACAACAAAATACACATGAAAATTTTACATATTGATTTTCACACGCCTTAAGGTCCATGAATATGCTTAGTTTCTTACAAACTTTTTGTGAGCTTTTTAAACAAATTACCGGTGAAAGATCTTGAACTACAGTTCATTCCGGTTGACATTACGTGATTATTTTACGATTAGAAAAGCAATGTGCATTTTCATCAGCTATTCGTTTTTTAAACCGTTGGTTCACCCTTAACGTGATCACTGAAAATTTAGTTTAAGCCATGACGAGGAGAATTGAGCGTTTAAAGTGATGTGCAGAGAAAATTTTCCTTCACGTGAAAGACTTTTCGGAAATTGACCTTAAAACTTCCAACATGGTGGAGTTTATTTTTAAAAAACATTTGAAAATCGGAGGGTTTTTCTGGTTCTGTTTCTCTTTTTGTTATTTATCACACTAATTCATCCTTGAAACTGATATGACGAATTTGATTACGGAACTTTTAACGACGATCAAGCATTACTTCCTTTGGAGAAAATCTTTTTTCGAACCTTCTTTCCATTTTTAATGAGACTGGACCAACTCTTTTTTAACAAGATGTTTGCAGTTTGACGAAAACGCATCACGGTTCTTTCAAATTAGCGTTCTGTAGGTGACATCTGTGATACATTTTCAAAGAATTATCTTCGCGTGAGTGTATGTGTCAAGCCCTCTCTTAAAAAAATTAAGCATGGCCATACAAAGTACAATCAAGTTAGGGGATTCGCGTGATCTTCGTTAGGAAAAGATACACATGCTATGACACGCAATAAGATCTTAAGGTTTCACGAAAATGTTACCCCACGCAAATTGAGAATTAATGATGCGTCCATATTTCATAATTCATATTTCACATTTCGCGATAACAGTGCTTAGTCACATTCATTTGTTTTCAAAATTGATAACTTTGATGAAAAATGATTCTTGGAAAAATGATTGTCACGCGAAAGATTATTGTCATAATTTTTTTTCTTATACTACGACAAACTGAGCGACTGTGCATAGTTTGAAAATCCTCGCTGTCTGAAAACAGGGAGAAGATTTTCTTTACTTCTAGAAACGAAATATTGTGATATTTGACTTATTTTTGTTGTTATCATTATAATGCCAAGATTACACCTCCAAGAAGAGTTTAGCTCATCAATATACACCTGTAAACCATTAAAAGCCAAAAATTACAGTGCAAATATGCTTAGCTCTACGTGAATATGGCGTCTTTTGGCGATAAAAATCCTCCAATGGCTTCCAATTTTGTATTTCGGCTCAGCTCAATTTATTTTTAGTCTTTTATATACAATTGCCCCCGAGCCAAAAAACCATGTTACTCCTAACAAAGCCGGTGAATTTTAAATTTTAATCATCAAGTTACAAAAATGTTCACTTGTACAAGATATATAATTCGATATCCGGTAAAATATCGTTGGAACTATGCATGAATCGGATATTCTACATGTGTTAGAGAGCGCTAGATTCGGCGTTTTTTATCAGGAAGGAATCATCAACATTGCAACAGAAATTGAAGAAAGAAAATAGAAAATATATATGCTTTGGTACGTGATCTCAATTAACTTAGTTACACGATCCAAATTTCCTACGAACTTGTTCAAATGGAACAGAAAAGAAAAAAAAAAGAAAAAAAAAAGGCGTAAATGAATTTTGGTGCAGCTGAAAATTATGCTTACTGTCCCAGAAAATATATCCTTCATGTCTTGATTAGTCGATACCCCGAGGGGCGAAATAAATGCTGACTTACATCGTGTTTTTCCTACTATTTGAAAACAAAAAATACCGTTGCTAGCGAACAAAAGAAAAACTTTGAAATATTGACACGGGAAAAATAAGTGACGCCGTCTTTCCACATTTGTAGCAGATTATTGGTCAAAACAGCAGACATTGTTCCATATAATATAGGGCGCGTGACCCAACCACGTTTTATGTTGTTTTCTAAATTAGTAAGAGTCACGATATAAATCTCGAACGGGAAAAAGACAGGTTAAAAACGCAGCAGGATACGAAAAAAATTCTGACTTTCAATCACTTCTGTAACGTGACAACTCACAAAGAAAACTGATGTTTATACTTAGCTTATTTCATTACACGTGGGAAGGCAAATTTCCGGCTGCGGACAGCGTGTCTGGGAAAGCGAAAGTTCTGGCGTTCAGGTATAATGGTGTGAATGTTTTTTTCTTGTACAGCTTATTAACGAGCACCGCTGCCGCCAATTTCGTTTTACACGTATTTAAGGCGTTATTAGAAGGCAGGGAGCTAAGGGATTGTTCAGTTCTCTCCGTCACGAGGGAAATTAAATCACACTCCATGGTAAATTGTTTTCATTTTGATTCGCTCGTACACAATTACCGCTCTAACAACGTGGCTCTAAGAAAGTAGAACCACGCGGTGACCCTGAATAATCCTTGAGTGAAATCCGATTTAAAAACTTGCTCTTATTGGATTATTTGATTCGTTTTCTGTTAAGTTGTGCGCTTCAAAGTAGGGAGGGCGCAGTGAATTATTTTGCCTATAAAGCGATGTGTATAATAATAGGTGATAACCATGAAAGTAGGTTACTATAACTACAAACGATTGTTTGTTACACTCGGTAGGTGAGGCACGGAGACTGCAAGTTTTCCCAATGAAGCAAATCGATAACGAACACTGTGATGCAGACAGTGGAATGGCACCAACAACCCCGTGTTATCCAAGAATCCCAAGGAAAAAAACTCAGGAACAACAAGCTGTGGTGGACGAGATACTTCAAGTGGTTGCTGATCAAGGAAGGCGCTTTTCGCTTTCGCAAACGGACTACAGCGTTCAAAAGAGAATCGAATGTGGCCTAAGGAGGAAAAAAAGACTAACAAGCGACGCGTCTAGTTTTGATGATTCCAGTTCATGTGCAAGCGGCTCCGACCTTTCTACTTCGCCACCACCAACACGGCATAGCAGTATCAGTATCAATTCAAGTTTTTCAGATGATGGCAAGATGTTCGAATATAGCAGTAGACCGCAAACTCTTCCGCCGCTCCACCGAAATAGAAGCCACAGGCCGGCTCGACCGACGCCTCCTAAAATTGACTTTGACGAGGAGCGAGAAATAAGTCGCTCTGGCACCTTGTCGAGACCTATGTCCGCGCGGGGACAACGATCACGCCCACAGAGAGGTTTCACGTTATAATTCCAGAGAACGCAAAACATTGAGAGAGATCGCCATGAATTCATTACTTCAGTGAGGACGTTAAATCCCACCCATGGAGGAAGTGTTCTGGCTTGGATTTTAGTAGTGTAGAGTTTTGAAAAAGAAAACAATTCATGCGTATAGTGCACAACGAGGGCCAACATTAGGATGTCAACATATAAACTCTAAGTTCAACTGCCAGAGTAGAAGGCTTATGACAGGTGCCGGAGGCCGAGCAAAAAGAAATTAGTTAAGCTGTTGCTAGTTTAAGGGAAAAAAAGGGCCCTGAAGGAAACGATCAAACATACTTGAAGTCTGATTCGCTGAAGATTACATCAATGATTCCATACACCATGTGCAGCAAATTTATTTTCAAAAAATCGACGCCAAAACATGCCGAATACAAGAGGGATCATTAGCCACAACAGAACTTTTCAAGTGTTATCAGCTACACGTAAACAATTGCATTTTTCGAGAACAATCTAGGAGGTAAGAGGGTTGTCTCTTTGCAAAATTCATCATGAAAACTGTTAGAAAAGAAAAATAGTGACATGGAAACTGAACAGTATTCTCTATCGTCAAAAATGTCATTGAGCGGTTGTAGATTACTTATAGCATGGCGTGTAGCAGCCTCATTTAAAGTCAAAACAACGGACGGTCTGAAATGAATCGTTGCAAAGACTATTCCTTTGTTTCATTCTATAAAACCTACAAATCAAAATCAATTTTTAATAGCAGCACATAGCGACTCATTTCTTCTCCCTAAGTTTTTAAAAAGCGATATTTGTTCAATAAAAATAAAAAATATAAAATGCTAATTTACCTATATATTCTCGGAACATTTGATCAATAATTCTACAATGTAAAGAGATGATCGTCTTTCAGGTGAAGATCGACCGGAAAGGAAGATTCAGAAACAAATTTGTAAAAAGGCAAAATATAGGTTTTGGTTAGAGTAAATATGGAGTAAGAATAAAATATATAGTACACAATTACACCCGCGGTGTTGTCTGAATTACAAACTGATGCGATTTGAATATGCTAAATATTTGTCTGGCGAATTATGAGAATGCGTGTTCTCATACGTGTGACGGTAATGTAAAAAAAAAAAAACAAGGAATACAGAACACAGGTGTTAAAAGTAATTTTCACATTTAAGGGTTTAAGAATAAAAATATATTCCCAGAAAACTGACGTCCGTGAATAACAAACACATATAAACCAAAAATCACTAACAAATAACAAAAGTCGCGACGTGGTGGAAAAAAATTATCTCCCATCCAACAGACAGGTTTTCGATGCAAATATATATATATTACATATCGCGTCAGTATTTCGGGCATCAGCCAAGTAATATTACTTGTTACCAAGCAAGATATTGATCCATCTACATGCTTTCTGCAGGTAGGAAATTTAAAAAAAAAAACTTGAAGCTAGCTTGTTCTTCTATGTGCTTGGCTAAAACATTTCTGGCGTTCGTTGCTTTTTCATTTTTATTTCGGTTCTTTCGTTACCGCTAAAATCGGTGAAAAATATAGAGCATTGGTGCAAAAATAACATATACCTTCGTTTGCCGACACCAATATTAGCAGCTCTCAAATTTACAGAAGTGACACTATTTTAAGTAAGTAATTTGAATCCATTTTTTTTAAATCCCATCAAATGTTGTTGCAAATCTTATTGGGATGTTCTTTTATTATCCTTCAGGTCAAAACAAAATTCAACAATATGTACCGTGCTAAAAAGATTGTTGCGGTCAAATTAACCCGCATATTAACAAATTTCATTCACCTGCCAAAGTCAAAATCGACATAGTACATAATTTGGCGAAATTATAATCAACCGGACAAAAACTACAAGCTCATTTGGTAGAAGAACCGCGGCAATATTTATACTAGAATTTGCTTGATACTCGCAATCGTTCAGTGTTAAATATGGAAACCTATACATAGTTGTGTTAAAATTATGGCATCACATTTGAACAGTAACACACAAACAACATATATGCATAAGGAAACTTTCAATATAGTGATCAACAAACAATATCAACAACTTCTTCCCTTGTTATGTAATAACTGTTGACGAAAAAGGTAAAGAAACATCGATAGTATATACAAAAGCACATCTTTAATTTAGGAAGACAATAGAACGTTTCATTGACTGAAAAAACGGTTGATAACTGGTGTGGAACGGGTATTGCTTAAAAAATGCAACACGGCCTAATATAAGTGGCAAAAGAAGACTGACAGAACTAGCAAGCGGAATCTAGTTTTAAAGAAGATGGAGTCTTATTTCAATTCAGTAAGTTGTAAAAGTGTAAAGAAGCTGAAATGCGATCAATTCACGTGATGTACTAAAACAGCATCCATTAAATAGTCTCTGAACGAAATTTGCAATATTCAAGAACATGACGCACATGTGCACTTCAAAATGACATAATGACCTGTGTTTCTAATTTTATCGAGATAAACCCGCCAGAAATTTCCAGGTGCGACATCGAAATAAGTCACTAAACTGAGTGAAAACAATATTGGCACAAATTTTAAATTCGTTTCTCAAATGCATCCTGGATGTTCTCGATATATATCACAGCTATCGCTGTTACAATTCAATCATTCGTATTGGCTGTCAATAGTCTTACTCAACGCAAGAGCGGCCAAAAACACTAATATAAACTTACGTAAGAATTGTTGTTCTACTAATTAGAAAAATTCACAGAGTTTGTGGCAACACAGTTTACAGCAGTCGTGTTCCTACGGATTGTAGACTATAATACATTTCCTATAGCTTTGATTAGTGTTACTCACAATAAAAAATTTCTATTAGCAAAATTACTGAATATGGCGGCTTCGGAGGACAAACAGCGGCGTGTTTCGTGCAATATTGTTTGGCGCGAGCAGTCCGAGCGCAGGTAATTATAAAATCATAATAAAAGTTATTCATGGCAGAACTTTTTTCGCCTCGGGGAAGTTATCGGCTTAACTGCTCGACTTTTAGGAGAAATATATTCTTTTAATATGTTTTGGTTATTTCTTTCTTTTCTGACAATTTTTCCGTTTAGGTAATGTATCAGTGATAAAAACAAGTTTTGCTAATGCCTTTTTAACTGGTCGAATTAACGAGTTACTAGTTCTTTGTGTGGCGCAACCTCTTGAATACATCAACTTGCTAACTCAGTGAAATTGACAGAGTAAACAATTCTCATGATTGCCGATGTTTCTGTCAAACGATACAACCGCCAAGTGAGACAGAAAAGTGCAGTCAAAAGGATGACAAACAAAGTTAGCAGTACAAAGAATAAAGAAATTCACAAATTTAATCATCTTATCTTATCTTAATCTTTTTGTGGTATTCTAGAAAACGCAAGACTGTGAGCTACAAACACGTGCTCGGCAGAACTTGTTTTTTCATATTCTGTGACCAGTTATAACCTCATAGGTTCCACAGAAGTGAGCATTGACTTATACTGATGTAAACATCAATTGTTGTGTAACGCAAAGTCATAGTTTAAGTTTTTTCTCCACAAGTTTCTGTGGTTAGAACGGTCAAGTTTGATTTACTGACTATTCTTCCCTAATATGGAATCTTAGATCTGTTTTAATGATTTCCTTCCTTTGCATGCAGCGCCGCAAGTACCGTCTGCTAAAAAAGCATCCATCATTACAGTTCAGATAACTCGTCCCAACTACACCGAAATAAATCCGTGCGTAAACAATACTTGAAGTTCGATCGAAAACGCAAATTGCGGGGAAGGCTTTCTTCGAAATTGTACCAGGTAGTCTGGGGCAGACATGACAGACTTCTTTATAATGACGGTGAGTATGACGACTTTGAGAGAAAAACACTTTAAAACACAAGAAGCTAATTGTTTCTTTGGCTTCTTTGATGAGTAATACTAACAAAGGAATGGAGCATAAATTTAGCCAGGGCAGAGTTTCCGTCCAATTTTTTTAATCTCACAGATTTGTAAGTAATAAATATCAATATCAGTTCTTACAAATATCATTCACTTACATGCTGGTTATCAGTATAAAATTTCAAATGCCTGTCGAAATTTCCTCGGGATGACATTTTCGTCAAAAAGGAGCTTTGGACGGGAAGAGTTGTACATATTTCTACAAGTTCTTTAGAGGTAGCCACACCTTGATAATAGGCAAATGAATGTGATCTTAACTGAGCTATTTACAACTCTAAAACAGTTCTTTGGTCTATGACGTTAAAACAATATATCAGCTTTCAAAAAAAAAGGACAGAAAAATTATATGTGTGATGAATTCGCTTTCCTGAAAGTTTTGACTTTTTTAGAAAGAGTGAAATTGTCATTTACGTGATTCAAAATAAATACGCATGAACAAAATGATGTACAAAGATCACATTGTTCCATAAGAAGTAAAGACAGTTAAGTTAAAATTCAAGAAAGCCTTCTTCTTCTTCGAGAAGACTCGTGTCATTTACTGACGAGCATCATGAATTCTCTCATCACAGTATCTGTATTGAGATACTGATAAGCAGAGTTTTGCATGTAAAATGGAGGCAACGTCTCCAAGCATCAAAACTCCTAAGAAAAAAAAAGAGAAGTAACATAAATACAAAAGAGGGTACAGAACTAATGGCTCTGAGTCACTCGAACCTCAAGAAACAAACAACAACAAAAATAGCTCTGGGGCTTAAGTGGATATTCAAATAATATTTAAGTATTGTGAAACAACGCAGAGCGAATTACTATGTGGTGAATATCTTGTTAAATTCAGTTTACTTCGACAAGGAGATATTGTTTAAATTGAACAGAGGGGAGTTCGTATTTTTTTTCTGGCCTCACCTGCTAGACAGCGTGTGTTTCACTTGATCCACTTTAGCTGCTGGAAGGAGCAGGCCCTTCTCGTCCAATGGGAGGGACGTGTACCATGGTGTAGGGCGCTGTGGAGGACGCCGCCGAGTTACTTCTGTAAAGCGGTAACTCAGACGGGTGCACTGGTTCCAGCTCCAATGGCCCATCAAACGCTAATTGAGCGTCCAGTCTGCTGAAATTGATGTAAGTCCTTCGTCTTGAGCCTTTACGTACATTTTTAGCGTAAGATAGAGGGTTTGCAAGTGAGGTCGGGTCACAACTGATCCGCTCACATTCGCTGGCCGATGATATTCTGGCGGAAATGATCTCTGCTGGCCGCACACGTTGAAAAGTTTGACTCGATCGAGGTCGGAAAGCTTCCGGGTGATTATCGATTCCGGAAAAGTTTTCCAAAGGAGCATTGTAGTGATACGGAGTTTCTTTGGTGGCGTAAACCGAATGATCTCGAAACGGGACGAACAGTTTTCTAGAGAGACACTGCTGAGGCCACGATGCGTTCAAGTTACCTCCTGAACTAGCTCCCTCTTCACTGGTAGGAGAGGAATTTAACTCTGTTCTTTCCGTGGAGCTATGCAGCATAAAATCACGCGAGCTGCCAGGCTCATTTGTATCTTCTTTTGATGAAACGTCCTTACCAGAGTAAAAAGAATCCACCGAATATTGTCGTCGTAAGCTCGACACCGATCTTTTCCGACTGCTTGTACTTCGTGTGCGGGGGCGACCTGACGGTGGCCGAGGCACAATGACGGCCTCTGGAAGATTACTCAAGTTATCGACGTCCGAATTTAAGGAAGATACTTCTCTAGACACGGGTCGATGGCTAGATTTATCAAGCTTTGGACTTTCGTCTGAGACTGTTAGTTTGCTTTCCTCCCCAGATCCCTTGACAACAAGCGCTGAATCTATTAAGTCTAAGATTTCATCGTCAACGATTTTCAAATCCACTTGCGAAGTTTGAAGAGCCTCTTGATCTTTGACAAAACGCAAAACCATTTCTTGCTTTGCTCGATTAATATTTTCTGAGAAGTCATCAAGCCTTGGACTCTCCGGTTTGCTGTCCTTCGATGTAGTCATGGTGAAATCTATTATGCATACAATTCCAAAATTACTCCGTGATTTCGTAAATTTATGAAGACAAACAACTATTATCGGCACATGAGATATCTAGAGATCGATCAGCACCTTTGAAAAAGAAATTCAGATGTATTCTTGAACTTGCATCAAAACTCGAAGTTGTCCTTAAATGTTGTCTAATCATTCAGATAACTCGATGAAGTTTCTCGTCGCTTCCTTCGTGTTTTGCTGTGTGGTACATGCAAGGATCCTTTTAATCCTTCAAAACTTTAGTTACCAAACCAAACCACAGTGACAGGATGACAAACACAACAGCTCCACGAAAGGAACACTCGTTTTGGTAACCTTAACAAGAATCTACTTCAATAAATTCGCTAAAAGTTTAGCGCCATCATTTAGTAATTTTCCATGTCTTTGAATGTTTTCTGCCTTTGTGTCTGCAGCTAACAAATACCGCTCTTAGAAAAGCTGCGATTGGTCCGAAACAATAAACAAATGAATCATAAATATTCATTTCTACTTTGGATAAGATCAATTCTGAATGCAAACTAATTAACTACTGTATGTTTACTTTGAAGAAAAGAAAACTTCGTTCAATTTTTTCTTTGTTTTGAAGAAACAGGTAAGACAACTATAGCACAAGATTTTCAAACTCTTCTAAAGATCTATTTTCAGCTGGAATTAATCTATTTGTGAGTTTCCAAGCGGGTAGAAAGAAAGCAAGTAATTAGGCATTTCAATTCAGCCTAAAGCAATGTATACATTTTAAGATAAGTCTTTGTTTCTCTGTTTACACATACAAATAGTTCAGTAGTGGCTGAAAGGCAAGTTCGCACATCAGTCGTCTTTTAACAAACTGCAAATTGCTTTAATCGCACACAATGTTTTCTTGTCGTGGTCGTTTACGTGAAGACCTATAATCTTAATATGAAAGTCGTGAACCCATTCATGCTCTGTACTTTGAATCTATGTTAAGTGAATCTAAATTAGCTTTGCGGATCCCTAGTGGATTTCCAAACGCTCAATTATCCATTTTGGCACCCCATGTAAGGGGGCCTATCGCATTTGCGTCAGAGCACATTGTTCGCTTAATCCTGTTGTATGGAAGTATACAAAAGTAATCAATTCTTAAAACTCGACGTCCAAACACATAATTTCTCTCATAATTCGCTTCGGAAGCTAGAGAACAATTATTAAAAGACTCTTCGAAAATAGGCGCGAGAAGAATCTTTGGCAATTATGTAAGAGGAACACTCGAGTTCCAGCGGGATTCTTTCAATTATCAAAAAAAAAAAAAACTACCGGAGAGTCTGAAGAGAAAAACCTTTAGGTAGTTTAAGTCCTTCAAAGAGATTATTAGATTGAAAAGCACCTAGCAACACGGAATAAACGCAGCACGTGCGTCCTCAGCATCCTAGCATTTCCCACAACGAATTCCATGCCGCTATCAAAACACATATGTAACATATAAACGAATGTGAAGTCCACGTGATGCCAAAGAAGATCAGACACATTCCACTTATCGTTTCTGATCGAGCCGGCCAGTTCATATTTAATAATATTATACTGAACGTGGCACGTCAATACATAATCGTTTAGAAATTTCTCCAACTAAATGGATTCGTTTTCTCGGATGGTCAATGTTCAAAGTCTACCCTGTTCCACCTTTAAAAATACACAACTTGGTCTATCGATCATGGAGCTCATTTTTTCAGTGCTTAGCTCTGAGTAAGAAACATTTTGCAGCAAAAAGGAAAAATATGCTCTTACAAGTTACGTAATCTGGAGTGGGGTATGAGGTAATGACAAAAAGATACAGTCTGATAACTGAGTTCAGATAGCTTTGAGGTGAGCTACTGGATAACGAGAAAGCTCTCTTGTTAAACCACCTGAAAAGGGAAATAAACTAAACAAAACAAAACAAAAATACAATAAAAGCAGCGTAACGAATCAACAAAAAAGAAGAAAGATGAAGCTTAAAGAGACCATGTCAGTGAAAACTGGGGGAAAAATATTGGTTCTCTCGCTTTTTTCCACCGTCATGTTTCATCTCCAGTTCTCTATTAGAGGAATCAGGAAATAGAAACATCCTTTTTGCCTTTTGGGAAGGCTACAAAAGACTGCGAAATAGTTTGGATGAATTTTACCGCAGCGTAAGCCGTCCCCATCTAGTCTGGGGAGAGAAGTTTGGGGTAGTAATTTCACTTGTTTTTCAGTCTATAAATTAATAAATCGTCGTTGAAGTTTAGCTGCTAGTCTCTTCAGATTGGATTCGCGCTCTACTTGCCCCCTACCACGGACAGCCTGTTTCATTCGTCAAGGGAAGATAAAACTGTTGCGTTGTGCGCTTGACTACGGCGCGTCTATCAAAACGGTTGTTTTGAAACAAACATCAATTTTTCATTTATATATTGTGGAGAGAATTTCCCACAACATGAGAAATTTTTACGCAAAGCAAAACAATCAGCCGCGAAAAGGAACTTTTTCACTCTCTTCAATTTGTAATCCTCTAGTTTCCCTTATTTGGCGTTCAATAGGAAGCAGCTGTCACCGCAGGCAATTTATAATTAATTATGTGGACATTAAAATAAAAAAGGGTAAGAAAACCAACAAATGCCAAGAACAGAAAAGAATGAAATCTCTCATTTAGATTGATTTACCATCTTCTGACAGAAACAGAAAGACACTGAGTAGCCTGTGCAGGGCTTCATCATTGGCGCCTCCGCGTTACGAGTGTTCTTCGCCCTCAAACAAGTTTGAGGCCTTAGGGAAACGATAGCCGGGGAGAGGTGTCCAAGTGGTCTTGGACCTGCTTATCAATGCCAGACCCGGCCCTTGTCGGCTTACTTTGCTCAAAGCCTGAAAGTTACTCGCAGGCGAAGAAACGATCGTGCTGCAGCGCTAATGATGATGGCGGATAATAGCCTGCTAACAGGTTCTACACTGACATTTTTACAATCAACAATCGTCTAACCACTGCATTTGTTTTGCAAATTATCAACGACAAGGAAGACTTCATAAATTTACTAAGTGCTATGAAATATTAATTGGCGAGAAAAAGCTAAAAACAAGGCCTGCAAACGGCTCCTTGGCCACCGATAAGAGGCAAATCACACGAAAGTGCGAAAATGAGAAAAAGTGCGACGAATTTTAAAAAAGAGGCCAATATTTATATAAAAAGCAAACTCTTATAATTTTTCCTATCTATAAATATATTCGCTGTAGAGTGAGTTCTTAACTTTTAAATTAATTATTTGTTAAAAGACAAAATGTTAGGCGATCGAGAAGACAAACGAAAATACCGACTTTTCACCGAGTGACGGAAATTTGAGACAGCTGTGGGTTTTTCAGGGTTTTACATAATTTGCACCTTTGCTAAAGTTAATCCACAGCTAAATTTACGATCACGGATTTATTTTTGCACTAAAACGCTCACTGGTCGCTCAATGACAGCAACCGTTTGAGTGACGTAAGCAAACTGTCTTTAGCACCGTCAGTCTTTTTGTGTTTATAGCTGTCAAAGCTTTTAATACGCCAACGGCGGGAGTCAGTTCACAAGCACCGACAGCTGCGGCGCTCAACAAGCTTATGTAAACTCGACTCGCGGAACTGCAACTTAGAGGATGTTTAATAATCTGGATGTCACGGATTAATAAGGGATAAGGCGCCAAGGAAATGGAATAAGACATGTACGCACCAATTTCAGAGGAAGACAGCTTTCTTCCTGCTATTCTGTGGAGCAATCCTTCAAAACAACTCGAACATGTTCGAGGTTATTACGAACGACAGCGTCAGTTGAATTTAGTGCTTGATCGAAACTTGGAAGACATTCGAATGGCGTACTCTAGGAAGCTGTGTACTGAAAGAAATCGGCTTAGCAAGTCCCTGTGGGAGATAGAGGTTAGGAAAAGGAAATTACTGCATCAGATTTTGGAGCCACAAGCGAAACGTGAGGCGACATGGCGAAAGCAGTCTATAGCTGGACCAAAAAAGCATCGAATAAGGCACAAAGAGAGTGAAGAGGAAAATAAGTTGCGGAAGGGATATAATAAACATGGCAAGCACACTTCTAACGAGCATCAAAACAGGCAGCAAGAAAGAACTGGGAAAGAAAAGCCCAAAGATAAAGAAAGCTCTGAAGGAGAATCTGAACAGTTAGTGCTACCCAAATTTCTTCTTCGTTGAAATCAAGTTATGTATACCCGCAGCGAATTCACGTTGCTAAGACACGGAAAATGAAATATTTATCAAACTGAGGTAAATACGGAAATTATTCCATAATAAGGGAAGCCAATTTCAGGTCACTAGAATTAACAGTGAAATATTTGAAAAATAAAAAAGAGAGTCAGTTCAAAAGTACAAAAACTCTCTCAAAAAATTAAACTTCTGCTTCACCAAAATGTTATTTACAAGGAAATGATTGATACGTATTTTTCTGTGTTATTTCAGCTGCGTAGTTATTGAATTTTCAAAATTCTATTCATGAAGGAGAGGAGTGACAACCGTTGGAAACGCTTTAAGCGAATATTACCTTTCTTAAGTACATTTATTCGATCAAAACTGGCGACTCTAATGATAAGGTACTTCTTAACACTAATAAAAACATTTTTGAAGTGGACGTAATATTAAACATAGAAAAAAAAATCCGTTAAAACAAGCATCCAACAAACTAAGAACATTATTTATCTTTTCAATATCAGCTTATTACTGCCGCAAAGAAAAAAGTACACAAACATGAAAACGTTCATTAAATCTTGCAAGCTCTCTGTTTCCTTCGTCTTCCACTTCGCGCCAAGCTAGTTTATTTGAGATTCACTATTAAATATTTAGTTCGGATTCATAATCGACGTATTCGAAATAGGAACTTTAGCTTGGCCTGTCAAGACTTCAAAGAAGCCTTTACATAAATCTCTAAAACTAAAATGTTGTGCAAATAGGTTCGAAGAAATTGGACAAAAGAGGAAGTCTTCAGATAAACAAAAGTAATTTAAGCTTTATTGCTGGAGGGGCTGTTGTACTCAATTCTGGCCGCCTGATTTTGTTCAAAGTTAAGAGTTTTAACCAATAACGTAGGACAGCAATCAAAAAGAGGGCTATAATAGACACTATTAATGCATTAGCTAAGTGCATTGCGCTGTTAAATGCGGCGCTAAGACACAATGGGGAGATTAAGGGAAACTGGGGTAGCTATCTCTGCTGTTTAAGATTCAATCAGGAAGAAAAGCGTTAAAAGCTTTCTTTTTGTTAGGTGCGAATATTTGTTCAGCAATCTTCAAAGTTCAGTCATCACAGCATTGTGTTGCGGAAAAAGTTGCAAATATTAACAAATTAAACAAAAGATTGAAAATTCAAGTTTTCGAGTATTCTCTTTTGTACTTATAGAGTAGCTTCTTAGTTCTTCAGCTGTTTGATGAGGCTGTTACGCCGGGTTAAATAACACAGCTACAAACTCAGTATCGTCCGATTCATTTATTTCTCTCAGAGATCAACTCTGTGATTTAATTAAAGGAAATTAATAATGCTCTCACTGTCTTTTAAAGACAGAATATTCTATCAGAATACAAATGACGTTGCTTACTATCAGTTCATACATATAATCTACGGAAAATTAGCATTTATAAATTTTCCTTTTGCTCTTAAAACAGAATATCAAATAAAAATAAAAAATAAACCGTATCAAAAATAGAGAGAGCTTGCAACTTTTGCTCTCAAAAAAAAAAAAAAACGATTTTACCGACATGTCACATTGACCTATCAAGGGATAGCACATGCCGCAGTCGAAGACATCTTTCGTTATAAGGACTCTAGCAGTTTCTGAGCTTGTTCGCTTGATTCTTTGTCCTAAATTTTCGGCAATGAGAAAAAAAATTTTCAGAAAGTCAAACGTGATCGTTTGTTTGGTTCAATGAAAGCATCCATCATCGTAGAAATCGTAGAAAAGGAATTTTAGAATAACACTTAAAATATTCACGAGTCTAAAGTTTTTTTTCTGGAGTTCTGGCTTCAATGAATTCCAAAGTACGACAACGACAGTAGTACGGTTTTTTGTTAAATGATAAGAAAAGCAGAAAGTAACAAAGAGTCGTTGTTCTATTCTACTTACGTCATCATTGGAGACTGGAAGCGAGAGAGCTTTCTTCAACCATTCTTTCGCCTTTGGTACATCTCCATTTTGTTTGTAACACTATGAAGGAAAAACTTGTAAAATGCTTTGGAATATTCGAATGTATTCTATGTAGAAATGGATTCTTTGCGTAGAAAGTTGCTCGAACCATTTGAGATCCCGAGTACAGGTCTTAAGAAATGTGTTACAATGTTTCTTTTTTCTCTTCACGAAGATCAATTAACGTGAACTTAAGATGACAGATAAGAACACAGCTTTTATTAGCTTCTAATTTATTACCTTTCCGATCCAAAACGAATTTGTCAGCCAAAATCCCGGCTGGAGATCTTCAGCCTGAAAAAAGGCAATCAGTTAGATAATAAAAGAGAGTCATGTAAAATTAAACAAAAAAATCTCTAGTTGTTCTTTGGTAATAATAAAAGTAATACATAGGAAAATGCCAAATATTCAGTATGCTTGACCCCAATTCAAAATGTCTAGTTTCCGGCCAAGGCCAGGTCATCTGCGTTGACTGTGTACGAGTAAGAAACTTAAAAAACTTTACTTTCTCAGTGCCACTCTCCACTCTGCTAATAAGGAGGAGTAACAAGACTCCTGGTCACTTCATGCACAGAAAACTGGAATAAACTCCTCTATTAATGGTTTCTAATCTTCTAAAATTAAAACCTATTTTAATTTAAGTTAATATTCTTCAAGCAAAGTTTAGTGTGAGTTCCTGTTTCAAAGGCTGACCTTAAGAAAGTTTTGAAGAGCCTCGTCAATAGATGATGACGGAGGTTCAGCTACAAATGCTGAGGCAGCTTTCCTCTGCCACCAAGACAACATAGAAATCTGAAATAGAATTCAGTTTTATTAAAGCTCAGACAGATCTTGAATGAGAAAAAAATCACAAAAAAATTCAGTTCAAGTTGCAAAGTTACCTCAAAACACCATCTTCCAAATAGATGATAGTTAGCAGGATCATCCCTGTTGAGTTTAATAGCTTCTTGAATATGTTCCTACAAAATAACACAGTTATCTCATATCACTGGAGTCAATGTCCTTCAAAAATTGCTACACAAGACGAGAAAAAAAGGTTTGTAAACAATTTGACCATTAAATTAAAGGTTAGATAATGTGAGTGCATTCAGATCTGTGCAAAGTTCAAATACTTTTAAACTAATTTAATTATTTTTTTCCTCTACCTTGTATTCATAGCCCAGCAAAATCTGATCTTGTAAACTTTTATATTCTGTTGTGCTTCCAAGAATTATTGCATACCTATAAAAAAAAAATTAGAAATACAATATTGGGTGTGGTAAGTATGTGCAACTTACAAGACACTGTGTTCTTCACATAGACATGAAAATCCAGATATTGAGGAGCAATTATGTTTTAATCAGTTACTTACCATTTGTGAGCATTTGGATTTTTTTTGTCCATTTGAATTGCTTTCTTTGCCTCTGCAATGCCTTCAAATTTTCAGTTTGTCAGATTAAGCAAATGTATATGATTACAACAAAGCTTCATGGAAGCACCAAAACAATTACTTTTAGGTAAATTTTACAGAGTATTACCATCTAATAAGAAACTGAATCATAAGTGGTTGAAATGCAATTCAGAGGCAACTGATTAAAAGATACTGGTCAGGTACTGAACACCAATCAGAAGGTAGTGCCACATTTTCTTAAGAACACTTTTCAGGAAGCTGCCCTCCCATGATTTGCTGACTTTAATAATCAAATGGCAAGCATATAGGTAGTGGCTATACCTTCATATAACATGTTTTTTTTCCCATCAGCATCTCCACTTTTTCCTTTCATTGTTGCAATATCGTAGCAAGATCTTGCATATCTCCAGCTAACTTCACAGTGTTCATGTTTCTGTACAAGTGAATCATGGTTACAAAATTATATCAGTCTACTAAAAATATTTATTATCTAATGAAGTATATGATTTTGTAATAAACATTCAATTTACACCCCTGACCTGTAAACACTCATGTAGAAGTCCATGAATTTTTTGCTTGGCTGCAGTCTCATTATTGGAGTGTAGCTGGTCTACTTCATCAATGATAGCTTTAAGATGGTCAAAGTCCAAAGCACTAGATGTAATGCCACAAAATGAAATATCAGTTAAATCAAATGTGTTGGGGAGAGAGAGGTGGTGGCAGGAAAATTAGCCCACTGAACTCTGGACTCTAGACTCTGGGTCAAAAAATCTTGGTTTAGATCTTAATGTGTGTTTTTAGGCAAAACACTTCATTCTCACAGCACCTCTCTCCACCCAGGAGTATAAATGGGTACCACCACACTGTCAGGAAAGTCTGACAATGCATAGGGAGGTAATCTGCGATGGATCAGCCTCCCATTGATTGCAAACTGGAGTATGGATCAAAAGGTCCAGATTTTAGCCCTGAGAAGGTCCAGCAATTGTGTTATGTTCTTGGGAAAGACACTCTATTCCCACATTTCATATTAACCCAGTGAATAGTTTGGGAAACTTGTTGAAATCCTGATGTGCAAGGGGG